TTTCATATTTTGAGGACTAGAAGTGTATACAGTGACCATGTTGTGTGTGTGTGTGTATGTGTTTGTGTGTGTGTGTGTGTGTATTTTGTCTCTGGGATTCTTTATGGTCAAGTCTCACTCACATGCAGATTTGACCTCATTAATTGTTTAAAGATTATCTGATTCAGTGTAACTCATTTGATTTGTTTTATTTAACTGGTTTTATTTATATAGTGTATAAGAGATGTTAATATACAAAGACATCCTTGTTATATATTAATAAAACTGGAGCAGTTCTAGTTTAAGAATTAACTTGAAACTCCTCTACAGTTATAATTTACTTTTAGGTATCAGAATTATTTTATTGCCTTTATCAGCTCATCTACTGAGCTAAGGAACAAGGACCTTCCAATTTGTTTCTATGATGTTTACCTATTTAGTAGCCTGTAAGGGTTTCTCTCTGTCTGCAACACTCAGGTTTGTTAAATTCCTGACCTGCTAGGAAATTCTTTATTACCTGAAAAGCTCATATTTTTTAAACCATAGAATAAGTTCCAGGACAGTTTCCTGAAAATGGTATACTGGAATTGGTTCATGCTGGCTCATTAGAGCTCATTGCTAAATTTATAGGAATTTTGGAAGCTGCTTATTAAACATGGCCATTATCAGAAATTAAGCTTTGTAACTTACAATTAAATGGGTTGTATTTAAATCAGTGGTAATAAATACTCAAAACTTATCACTTCCTATTTATTGTATTACCTTTTTAAAAGCTATTTTTAAAAATTGAAGTATAGTTGATTTGTAATGTTCTGTTAGTTTCTGGTGTACAGCAAAGTGATTCAGTTATACAAACATAATAATATATGTATAATCTTTTTTGTATTCTTTTCCATTATAGTTTATTATAAGATATTGAACATGTACCACAACTTCTTTATCCATTCATCTGTGGTGAAAATACTATTTAATGGTGTGTTATTGCATGTCTCTTCCCGACTCCATGTTTAGTGATGTCATGTTAAAATTGGCCGTGATGGAAGTGTTTACACCACAGACATCAGCAAATGCTATTTTTTTCCTTTGGTGAGCTGGATGTTAAATATTTACTAGCATATTACTGTTCGCATGCATTTCCCTTCAACCTGTAAAGTACAGTCCTTGGTCCTAGTAGCAGCTTGTCATATGTAATTAAATGACATTTGAGTCTTACTGTTGCAAATTTGATTTATCCAGTTAAACCTTATAGGAAAGAGAATGAATTTTTACTAAGCTTGAGTAAATAACTACATGATTATAAAAAACAGAGGAATTTGGTAAAAGCATTTTGAATAATATCAAACCATTGTTACTGTTGTTTTGGGTACTGTTAGATAAGGCCTATTAATGTAGTCTATAGAATCGCTCTTTTAAGTTTCTCTAGGGTTTTTTACATTGAAAATATACACTGAGAAGTTTCATAACAATTTTTTTCCCATGAATTCTGAGGAGGGATGTTGGAATAATATGCCACTTAAAGAATGTTTCATTCCAGTTTATGAAAGTATGTAGTATGTAAGTATCACTACCTTAAACTTACAGAGATAAAAGAGAAAGAAAAAGATTTTTTCCTCATATATCTACTCAAAAATAGAACATTAACTACAGTTAACTCAGTTCATTTAATCCCAGAAAATTCTTTTTTTTTTTTTAAACACGATCTCAGGATAAGTAGGCTAATTTCACGGGATCATCTTTTTCCGAGCTAGAAAGCAAGACGTCCTTGATACAGGCTGGACATGTTTCTATGGATGTCAGCTCCAGGGGGGAAGCCTGCACTTTTGAGTCTGTTTATTGTACTATCAATAAAGTACCTGCTGCAGTTTTTATTGCATCTGTTTTTGAGGTTACTATCAAAAATTTCAATTTTTCTTCTGAGTTTATGGCAGAGGCCTTTAGGCAAATATGAGGGAAAGGCAAAGACCATCTTGTTTATGACAAGCCTGAATGACTTAGACTGTTTTATTATAACATCAAATAATATCAGCATGGAGGAGAGTGAGCTGTCTAATCAATTTACAAGGATTTAGCCAGTGATTTCTGTGGATAGTGAGGACATTCATCCTAGGGCCTTTAATTCAACCTACAAAATGTGTTTTGTTTGTTACTAGTTGACAAGAGCATCTTAAGCCTACTAGTAAAATCTCTCTTCTATTTATTTATTTTGTTTAAAGGGATTAATCTGTTGAAAGTTATTTGGTTAATTTATGTATATCAACTTAATATGGTGGGTAATAAAGAGGTTGTTGGGTAGGTGACTGATTTATGTAATAGACATGTGGAACTTTTATATTTCTAGAGCATAAAGGAAGTTTACAAGCCACTTTTTGGTTCTTAAAATTGTCCTTAGCAAACCTACCCGAGGTTTGACATTGAGAGTGTGTGCGTGTTTATGCACGTATTCGGTGGTGGCTGGAGAGAACTGGGACGCTTCTCAGAATGTAGTTTCGGTGTGCCCCAAGGGCTCAATGAGGGGATATGACTGCTATTAGCAAAAATAATGAAAAGTAAACATTGGGGTAGGAGGTGCAGAGGGGAGCAGATGGTTCCCCATATAGAACAAAGCACAAAGATGACAGAGTCCTGTTTTTGCCTGTCCTGTGCACTAAAACTCCTTAAGGAGTTGCATATTGAGAAACAGTCCTTTTCTAGTTTACCAATATTTTTCTTCTTCACTTCTTCATTTTGATTGACTTTAGGGGTGGTCTAATTGTTAAATTTAAAATTCTTTTTTTTTGGTGGGGGTATGTTCTATCAGGTTGAGGTAGCTCCTCTCAATTCCTAACTTGCCGGTTAAATGGATATTGGATTTTGTTTAATTACTTTTATTGTGAGTTAATGTGATTGTTCTTGTTGCTGTTGTTTAGTCACTAAATTGTGTCCAACTCTTTGTGACCCCATGGACTGTAACCTGCCAGTCTCCTCAGTCCATGTGATTTCTCAGGCAAGAATACTGGAGTGGGTTGCCCTTTCCTTCTCCAGGGGATCTTCCCTACCCGGGGATTGAACCCACGTCTCCTGCTTGGCAGGAGGATTCTTTACCACTGAGCTACCTAGAAAGCCCTAAGATTTATTTTAATGGGAAATATTAGTGGTTTTAAAACCTTTGAAATACAGATTTTCCTGAACTTAAGAAAGATCCAGATAGAGAGCATGACTGAATAATTACTCAACTCTATCAATAAGATTTAGCACATATTTCTTTTACACTTTTAGTTTTAAAAACATCATTCCAGAAAGTTTGGAAAGCAGAATGAGACACAAATAAACTCATATCCCATCTCCTAATGTAACTATTATCATTTTTGGTACATTTCATTCCAAAATTGTATTATATGTACATCTATGTTATTTAAAAATTGCAGTCATAATGTGCACACAATTTTGATTATTTTTTTCCTCCCAACACTGGGTCATATGCATTTTTCATGTTGCCACAAAGTCTTGGTAGCCCTAGTTCTGATATTTTCTTAATGTGGAATTCCTTTAATTTTTTTGCTAATTAATTAATTAATTAATTAGGCTGCACCAGGTCTTACTTGTGGCACTCAGGATCCTTGGTTGCAGCATGTGGGATCTGGTTCCCTGACCAGGGATTGGACCTGGGCCCCCTGCTTCGGGAACTCAGAGTCTTATCCACTGAGCCACCAGAGACGTCCCTGGAATTCCTTTAAAATAGGAAGCTCCCTTAGTGCCTTTCAAGTGCCGTACCATTTACAAGACATGAAATGCACACAGGTTTCCAGGAACATAGTTATTATGTTAAGTGAGATAGGACTACAAAGAGGTTGAAAGGAAGCTAAATTACTCCCTTTGTTAGCAGGGAGTGGTAATATGTAAATGTGGACTGGTAAGCCAGTGTATCTTTTTTTCTTTTTTCCCCTTCAGGAAAGCAGTCAACTCCATATTAAGTTTCTCAACCAGGTATCCAGATGAGTTACAAGGTGTATCACAAGTGATTGTTAATGTTATAATATAATTTGTGAATGATTTGCTTTCATCATGCATTGAAGATAATTCAGGTCACTCTCACTCCTGGCCCTCTCCAGTAGTTTTGGGAGCTCCATAAGGAGAGTAGGACTAAAGCTGTATGTAGGGGTTGGAGACCAGGAGAGTGAGGAAGGACAGAATGCAGTTCCTTTCTCCTCTGGCCCCCCGAATTATGAAGTCTCATATACTTCCTATCCATTCTGCAAAGGACAGGTCAGAATTCCTTCAGTAACTCTACTTTGTGCTTGTCTCTACCCTAGAAACAAAATGCCATGTAAATTAGCTGTTGTTACTGCAGTATTTTAACAGACAATAAACTTGAACACATTGGATGAGAAAGGACAATCTAAAACCAGTAATTGTGTCCTTCAGGTTTTTAGAATTAGAAGTCACTAGGGTCGATTTTTGGATGTCTTATTGCAGATGTTGATTTAAAAGCTGTGGTCGTGTAATTTCTATTTTATCAGCAGTATTGGTATTTCACATCTTTTATTGATAAAATTGACTAAAAGGACTTGAAAACTTAGATCTCATGTCATTCTCATACTGAATTTCAAAAATCACCAAGCTCCTTGACATGCTGTGTAATCTGAGTGATTAGATTGGATGAATTCCACACATATCTCCTTAGTAGGCTAAGTCCTACTAGTTTATCCTGCTGTCCTTCCAGTGCTCTCAGACCACTAGGCTGAGAGAATGTATGTCTGAGAGTAGCCAGTGTCACATGCTCAGATCCTCCTTCAACCTACATTTTGAAAGCAGAAAGCAGTCACTGATCAGCACACTGCCCGACAGTCCTTTTTCTTGAGCCCATTCCTGCCGAGTCTCTGCAAAGTTGGCGCAATGCAGTCACTAGCTTGGTAACTTGCTAGCTTAACTCTTACGGCTCTTCTGAGGTTCTTTCTGCAGCTGCTTTCTTCTAGAGAGCTATTAGAGTTTCAGTCCTAATCATCACAGGAGGAGAAACTTTTTTTTTGTGTGTGTGTTAACAGGGAAATCAAACCAGTCAATTGTAAAGGAAATTAACCCTGAATATTCATTGGAAGGATTGATGCTGAAGTTGAAGCTTCAGTACTTTGGCTACCTGATGTGAAGAGCCGACTCACTGGAAAAGATCACGATGCTGGGAAAGATTGAGGGCAGGAGGAGAAGGAGGGGGACAGAGGATGAGATGGTTGGATGGCATCATCGACTCAACGGACATAAGTTTGAGCAAACACCGGGAAATAGTGAAGGACAGGGAAGCCTGGCATGCGGCAGTCCCTGGGCAAAGAGTCAGACACGACCCTGCCTGAACAACAGCAACAGATGTGAGCCAGTGAGCCCTGAGGGAGCTCAGCAAGGAGAATACCTGCCATCTAGTAGGCTTCTCTGGGAGCTCAGCCAGTAGAGAATCCACGAGCAATTGCAGGAGACCTGCGTTCAGTCCTTGCGTCGGGGAGGTCCCCTGGAGAAGGGAGGGGCAACCTACTCCAGGCCTCTTGCCTGAAGAATCCCATGGACACAGGAGCCTGGCAGCTCCAGTCCTTGGGGTTTCGAAGAGTCAGACACGACTAAGCGACTGAACAACAATAAATGGTGACACAGGTTAACTGGACTTATTGTGGTGATCATAATCGAATCATTATGTTGTACACGTGAAACTAACATAGTGTTCAATGCCAATTATACCTCAGTAAATAGATAGTACCTCCCTCCTCCAGTTGAATTCATTTGTTCAGCAAATATTTATTGCCTGACTGCTGGGTGTCAGTCTTTGTGCTCGGTGCTGGGGTACAGAGCCGAGGCCAATAGAGATGGCCTCTGCTCTAGTGGAGACTTTAGTTCAGTTGGCCGTAGACATGAGTGAAGTTATCACAGTCTGCATGTACTGTCACAGAGAAGCTGTGCCTAGAGCAGCTGTGCTCTAGAGAGCCTACAAGAGACACTGCTGCCCCGAGGGAGCCTCCTTGCAGAGATGACTTGGGGCTGAGCTCCCAGGAGGAGCGGGCATTCTTCTCGAAGAGCCGTTGGGCACTGGGGAGACCCGGAGCTCACGGGAATGACAAGGCCAGCAGCATCCCCAGTGGAGACGCAGTATGTGCAGGTTCTGTGGTGCAAGAGGAGCCAAGTGAGGCAGAGGAGATGAAAGGATGCCAGCGAGCCTGGAGGACAAGGGTGGAGTGGGAGGGGGTGAGGGGAAGGAGCCGACTTTGAGGAGAAACATGGAGAATTTGTGTTTAGTTAAGTTGAAGATGTTTATGAGATATCCACGGGGAGAGAGAGACCAGCTAAGCAGTAAGGATGTGGTCTTTTCATGTGGAGTGGACATCATCTGGGAAGTGAAAAATTACTGGAGAGCTCATATAATTCCAGAGAGTCAGCCCTCCTCCTTCCAGCTGCAGGAGTTTGTTCATCTCTGCTCTGCAGTGACACAGTGGTTACCAAGCAACGCCCTTCCCTTCTTCTGAGTCCCTAACTTCTGCTTCTTCGGGACGTCTGCTGTTGTCTCCTCTCTTGTGTCTTCTGGAGTCTGCCCACTACCATCTACGTGAGAAGGAAGAGCTGATTGGCCCATTTGGCCACGGGTGGGTCTGGGGAAGGACTTTCATACCTCCCATCTGCTGGCACATGGAATGAATCAGTGGTGGTGGTCGTGCAACAGTGAATCTACAAAGCCCCACCCAATGGTGTACTTTAAAATGCTGTGTGAATTTTAACTTGATTTGTAATAAATGTTGGAATTGATCAGTTATACTGTGATGTATTGTGATGCTTTGAGTTAGAAAACCTGGGTCAGATTTTCTTGTGGAGTCATCCTTACCCTCCACCTCTAGAATCAGGAGAAGCTGTATTTCCTAGATGGCTATGAATATTAGACAGGATAATGCTTGCGATAGACTTGGCTGTCTGTAAAAGCCCTGGGAGCTTTTTTTATTGTTATGGTTATGGCATGGTTTGGAACCCCTTTATTTATTTAATTGAAATACAGTTTATTTACAATGTTGTGTTGATTTCTTCTGTATAGCAAAGTAATTCAGTTACATACATACATACATACATACATACATACATATATATCCTTTTCAGGCTTCCTTGATGGCTCAGTGGTAGAGAATCCACCTGCAGTGCAGGCGATGCAGCAGCCACAGGTTTGATCCCTGGGTCAGATCCCCTGGAGGAGGAAATGGCAATCTACTACAGTATTCTTGCCTGGAAAATTCCATGGACAGAGGAGCCTGGCAGGCTACAGGCCCTGGGGTCACAGAGAGTGGGACACAACTGAAGCAACTGAATAGCAGTAGCAGAATATCCTTTTTGTAGGCCTCCGCATTATGGTTTATCACAGGATATTGAGTATGTATTGCATATAGTTCCCTGTGCTATACAGTAGGACCTTGTTGTCTATCCATCCTGTATCTCATAGTTTGCATCTGCTAATCCCAAACTCTGAATCCTTCTTTCTCCACCCCTTGTCCCTCTCGGCAACCACAAGTCTGTTCTCTATGTCTGTTAGTCTGTTTCTGTTTCATAGATAAATTCATTTGGGTCATAGTTTAAATTCTACATGTAAGTGATATTATATGATATTTGTCTTTCCCTTTCTGACTTAGTATGATAATCTCTAGGTCCATTCATGTTGCTGCAAGTGACATTATTTCATTCTTTTTTTGTGGCTAAACAATATTGCATTATATATATCTACCACATCTTCTTTATCCATTCATCTGTCGATGGACACTTTTTTACCTTGCTTCCATGTCCTGGCTACTGTGAACAGTGCTGCTAGGAACACAGGGGTGCATGCATCTTATCAAATTGTAGTTTTCTTCAGATGTATGCCCAGCAGTGGGATTACTGGATCATACGGCAGTCTTATTTTTAGTTTTTAAAAGACACTCCAAACTGTTCTCCCTAGTGGCTGTACCAACTTACATTCTCACCAACAGTGTAGGAGTGGAACCCCTCTCATTTTATTCCTGCATTTATAAAGCAGCTTCTAAGTGAATTGCTCTCTCCTGAGGCTCTTTGAGACGACCTTGGAATCCAGAGAAGTCCCCAAACTAGAGTCATGGCAAAGGGGTGAGTGTTTTCCCACCTGCCGACCCTGCAGCCAAGGCTGATCCTGGGCAACACTGTGAAGGAATCGACATCTGTGTCACTTGCCTGGCCTGGTTGTCTTTTGGGTTATCATTTCTGCGTCTCTCCCATGTGCTTTCTCAAGTGATTCGTGTTTTCCAAAGTGAGATCATCATATTAATCATATTAGGGTGTGAGTGGCCTGTTTAAGTTGTCTTTGTATCTTAAAGGAAGACCAATAAAGCTCAGAGGGAGCAATCATCAGGCCCTGCAGAAAAGGCGGGGTAGGGGAAGCAGAAGTTATTTTGAGGCTCTGGTGCCTTCCGGGGCATCCCTGAGGTCACCCTGATTCAGGGCCCATCTGGTCTCCTTATCCCAAGGCCAGCCTTGCTTGGCCTGTGCTGACTACTGCCACTGCTACACCATCTGGAAGAGAAGATCAGGAAAACTGCTTCAGTTTCTTGCTCTCCTAGGGCGAGGCTGTGGGCCACAGCAGCTTGGGCAGAAGCAGGGTTGATGGCGGTTGGTGGTGGCGGCAGGGTGTCATTACAACACTAATGAATCACGGCTGGGTCTGGCTCTCTTCTCTGACTCAGCTTGAAACTTCTTTCTGTTAACAGGAAGCCAGTAACCAGTGAAGTCAAAAGCTTGTATGAAACTCTGGATTGGAAACCACGGGGTGCTTCTTAAGCTTCTGTTTCTAAAATAAGAAGGGAAGCCATCAGAGAGAAGCTTCCCTGTCTCCTTTGATGCCGAGGGACTGGGTTGGTAGAAGGTTGATTGTGAGTCCAGGCTTTTGTTTCTTATGAAACGAAAAAATTGTCCAGGAGTTTACAAAAACAGGAAGCTGGCAATGAGTGCTATTGGAATTATGTAAATTAAACAGTTGCTGTGGAATGCAGGTGGCAGTGTGCCCGTGGGAAAGACTGGAGAATGAGGCCAGATGGGAGCAGGCACCGGTGAGGAAGCCACGAGGCAGGGGGCGAGATGTGGGGGTGTGGTCCATCCCTGCCCTGGCGTTGTCAGCCCAAGGCACTGCTGGAACGGTGAGGCAGCCCAAGGGCAGCAGGGAGCAAGGGCTCTCTATGTGCAGTGTGAGAAAATGAAGATGCTTACATCTCTCCAGGAGAGATTTCTATCTTCTCGTGGATATAAAGGATGGAGCCACATGAGTGCTGGAGGCCCCTTCTGTGCACAGGTTCTAGAAGGCCCTAGCAAACTGACAGCTGTTGAGGGGCCTGGGAACCCAAGCTGTGGTGGATGCTCCCATCAGTAAGGGAGCTAGCAGCACCATGATTTATCCATGATTCACACAGTTGGGGAATGGAGACACTTTGTTTTGGCTTGTTGTTCTGGGGTGTATTCTTTTTACTACCCTTTAAAAGTATTGTTAGTTCAGATGTTTAAGTCAATTGAAATGCACTTTGTTTTAGATTTAAAAATGTTTAAAATTCCTGTTATTTGAAACTTCTAAGACAACTCGATAGCCTGCTAAGGTATGACAGTACTAGGATTTGGGTTCTCAGCTGTATACTGGATGCCCTTGCGGGCAAAGGAAAGGCCTTTGGTACTGATAAGAGGGGTTACCACAGGAGTATTTTTGCTTGCTTACTGCTCCCCACTCCAGGCAGTGTTGACCTCTGGGGGGTACTTGATAAAATTTCCTTTCCCCAGACTCATTACTAATCACATTTTCTTGCTTCTAATCTCTCTTCCCTGCAGTCTATCATCCTGCCATCAGAGCTAATTTCCTTAAGTACAGTGTATCATGTCACCTCCCTTCCTCAACCATTTTCAGTGTGGGTCTCCCCACTGCCTACATATAAAGTCCAATACCTTAGTATGGGTCAAGGAAAGCCCCTCATGATTTAACCCTCTAATTCCTTTCAAGTGTCAATGTCTTTTACAGTCCTCCATGTTCTCCCCACCCCTAAATTCTTGCCATACATACTTTGAGGTCACCTCTTGAACATCAAGACATGAAAAGCCTGGCTTATACAATCCAAGTATTTATTTGCTTCTGGGTTTTAAAAAAAGGCCATTATCTGTCTGAGCTGCAGGCAGGACTTGATCCAGCAGCTCAACAATTTCCCCAAGGACTCAATTTCTTTTCAACTGATTATCATGGTCCCTAGATGATTGCCAGCAACTCTTGGGCTTTGTGCTTCTTTGTTCATGTCTCTAAAGAAAAACAGAATGTCTTTGCCCCAGCATTCCTAATCCATCTTCAATCTGATTGTTGCTCAGTCTCGTCAGACTTTTTGTGACCCCCTGAACTGTAGCCAGCCAGGCTATTCTATCCATGGGATTATCCTGGCAAGAATACTAGAGTGGGTTGCCATTTCCTCCTCCAAGGGATCTTCCCAACCCAGGGGTGGAACCTGTGTCTCGTGTGACTCCTGCATTGGCAGGTAGATTCTTTCCCATTGGGCCACCAGGGAAGCCCAATCTGATTAGACTTTGTTTATGCCATCTTTTTACTCCTGCGCCAAACCCTGTGGTCAGTGGGAGGTGCAGCTACAAAGTTCCTTCTTACATCAGAAGTTTTCCCCAGAACTGAATGGACCCCTAAATGGACATTGGGGACTGTTAGGAAGAAGGCAGACAGTCTAGAACCTAAGGAAGCATCCAGCATTGTTCACTCCATACACCCTGCACCTTCTCATTTCTGTGAGAAATCTCCCCTGATGCTTCCATTGGCTTCCACTGATCCCAGTCCTATACATGCTTTAAAACCTTGCTCAAGTACCACTGCTATGTCTCTTCTGTTCTCCTGGTAAGATTAATCCTTCTTCTATCCCCCACCTTCCCCAGGACACACCATACTTCTAGCTCATATGTAAATGCATTTATTCTAGCTCATATGTAATTCTGTTTGGCATTTGTCTGGGGCAAAATGTGCTATGTTTCCCTGTACCCTCACACTCAGTACTTTTGAGGCCAGATGTGTGGGTTTTACCCACACCAACCCATTCTCTGACACCAGTTGGGTGTCCTACAGTTCACTTCAGTTCTGACACTATTTTTTGCCTATAAATTTAAGGGCTCAGTCCCACAAACTCCCACTTCAGATGCTAACTGCTAGTCCCAGACTGTCACTTGTACTTCTGATCAACTGGCTATCAGTTGTGGTTCCCATGACCTCCTATTTAGGCTTGGTAATATACTAAAATGACTCACAGAATTCACGAAAACATTTGTGTTTATTAGCTTATTATAAACGATATGATAAAGGATACAGATGAACAGTCATATGAATAGGTACATGGGGCAAGGTCTGGAAGGATGCTGAGCATTCAGGAGTTTCTGTCCCTGTGGAGGTGGGGTACACCACCCTCCATGGCACATGTTCTGGAAGCTCTCAGAACTCTGTATTTCAAGGCTTTTTGTG